CATACAACAGTGTTTGCCCATACATAATATGTAACTAAGCATTTCATATTTTACAACTTGGTTAGCTGAAACAAATTTATAATTTTTGAATCTCTAAAAACAAATATGCAAATACTATATCACAAGCCCTGCTTACAATCTATTATTTATCTATGTATAGTACCTAACATWAGTAAATATKTCTATGGAAATTGGTAGAAATAATAAACAATATACAATAATAATTGAAATAAACAGCGTGTTTAAGTATTAAGAATTAAATAATTATTATACAATTTGAATGAGTCTTAATTTGGTGGGCTGAACATATCAATTTTAAATTTATTATCAGTTTGCATTAATCTATTGCAGGGAGTGTTATTTGCATAGTTAATAATTTTTATGCTTAAACAAAGTGTTTTTTTGATGTGTTAAAAGTGGGAGTATAGAAAATTAAATGACTTAAGAAATCAGGACAATCAACWTAAATAATACAATAAAAAATATTTACAGCCTCATTTATATCATAAAATTAATAAATAATTCTGAAATAATGACAAATTCATTATATTACACATGAAACTAAACAATAAACAAGCTAAATATTTTAATAGGAACTCACCTATGGCGTATTGCACCCATGTGTAGTTTCATTGCATTTGAATCTAAGTGTAGACCAGACGTAAGCTTCTTTAAATTTGTAGATATAGTAGAAATTAGTATACGCACAGTGCCTTGTGATGAAATAACATCAAAACCTGTACTGTCTGGAGCCATCAAAACATCTAGAAATTATGAAAAATAAAAAATKTACCAAATATGAATGTCATTAAAAATGAGTAAGTAATTTCTAAACCAACCATCAGCAATCTGCATGCCAGTAGGATAACTTTCTCTGAAGTCTGCTATAATTCTTTGAGACAAAGATATTACGCTCTCTTTAGTAGGTAGAGTTTTAAAAATAACTACTATGTCCGCCACAGTATGACCCTTCATAATAGTCGCTTTTTTAAAAGATCCGACTACTCTAACCTCTTCTATCTATAATGTAAACATAACATAATTTATGTTATAAATTGAGAATAATCAAAAATATATTCTGTTCAATAAACCTACAGATACTTCAGTTTTGCCTGGGGATATAATAATATTATCCAGTATAGACTGTATCTTGGTAACAACTCCCAACAGGGATGAATGGTCTTCAGGAGTGGGTGTTAACACCTGCGCCCTTTTGAGCAAAGCCTGAAAAGTAAATACATGACATAAAATTTAAAATTTGTACAATTGAAAACAGTAGCAAGACCATGGTTTAGCACTTACAGCGTTGAAAGCCGATTCCTCTGTAGTATGAGCGCCAGGCTTCACACGGGGGAATGCACCTTCGCAAAGGACAATATCGAAAGGATGTCTTGGCACTCTGCGGGACATAAATGGAGGAACCATTGGCCCGGCCAAAGATGGTGGAAATCTATTCATACCGACACGTCCACTACCACGAACCATTGGTTAAAAGATACGAACAGTCAAATACTGGTAGACAAATTTTTACGGCGAATAGTAGTTGTAGTTCCTACCAATTAGTTAAGAACAATTTTAACAAAAATNAAAAAAAACCCCATATTTTGAGTTTTCATAAAATTAAATTGTGTATTAATGTCATATTATGTCTTTTAGACCGTATATTGATAGGTAGTGAACTTTGAACCCTTCTATAGTACAGGCATCAAATCATAAACAGTCAGGAGTTGTATCTAATTTTAGTTTATCATCTAATTAGAAGGTACCTAGATTGAGTTAGGTTAATATTTCGTATTTTTGAAACAATGAACAAAATTCTAAAAGCCTGCTCATTTTGACCGTGAAGCGTGTGCTGTAATGTTAAAAAAAAATTTAATTTATAAATAGATTACACATTCTGTAAGTTGTCTCCCTATAATTTTAATTTATTGTAATACCATATTTTAAACATTTTTAGTGCACAAGATCGTYAAGTCCCAAACYATAATAATAATTTTTATTCATAATTAATAATTATTAAATTCATTAAATTACTGYAGAAATTATTTACATAATTTGARTTATTTTAATTGCATATTTTGAAAATGTTTAGCATAAGTCCCAAATCCTAACYATTGTTAATAAAAAATAAAGCGAAAAATAGTTTTTACATATTGAACTCTTCCATAATCATTATGAGATACTTATTATTATTTTAACCTTTTTACTGTAATTTATTAACTGTTTGTTTTAAAATATCTGCCAATCAGTTCTTATCTGTGTGGAATTAAACTAGCAGCGACTCTAATAAACAAAATATATTGATGGTTTTTTTTTTTTTTTTTAATAATTAATATGCATTATTACAATGACTCATTTCATTATAAAAAATAAAAAGTATAATTATTAATCATTATTTTAGGAATTGTATATGCTTTTAGAAAACAGGATATGTTATAATCTATAGGCCAGGAGATGTTGAAGTAAAAATTTTGAATCATGCATAATAAGTCWTATTGATAGTTTTATTTGAACGATATTTCACCAAAAGTACACAACCGTTTATTAAAAACCAACTRAAAACTAGTTGGTGATTGATGTCACGGCATCATTAACTGAGTTACTTACGATAATGATTACTTAAAAACAAAATTATGAACGACTTWACATATCTCTTTGTGAAACAATAACTAACATCTGTTTTCCAAAATTCCCCCAACACAACATACCAGGGGAAATTAAAACATTTTTTATACTGCAGTTCATTGATAAATGAATATTATTGCTTGTTTCAGTTTATTCTGGTATAAATGTATTATACACTAGATGGAATTAATCGAGTCAACAAGTGTACTCGAAATGTGTATTATAAAAAAGGAAAAATATTAGACAAATACTGAATGGAATTCAACATACAAACCACCAGTTCAGGTGAATTTTATGCTAGTATAATTAAATATTTCATTGTTCCATGAATTAATGAAATAACTGTATTACAATTAGCTCATAGGAGGTAGTCAATAAATTATTATTATTGTTCTTTTTTTTATATTATGTATATTAATACTGTAATAATATTACTTGCCTTAAATTATATTGCCTGAAAACACTAATCTAGTCATTAAATCTAGTCACTAATCACATTTTAAATATTATGTTATATTACTCTTGTTTTTATAATACATTTAATAAAAAAATTTTGTTTGAAAACTGTTATATCTTAAAAGAAATTTATTTAATGAAAGAGTTACATAACAAGAGGTTCTTAAATGTACAAATATAATATATCGTATTAATAATTTCCTAATGAGTTGAAAAACAGAAAATGTATTAAATATGCACACACACAAACATTAAATATATACACGAAAATCACAATTAAAAAAAAAAAAACTAAATTATAATTATTGACTTATGTGCTCTCCATTGCTATCTCTTCATTTTCTGCATTTGTAGCATCCACATCTTCTACCATCTCTTCTTGTTTTTCATATGCCTTTTGCAAGTCTTCAAAAACAATACCGTTAATAGATTTCAATTTTAGAATATCTGAAAAAAATCAAMATCAAATTTACAGCTAATACAGATAATAGTTTGTATTAGTTTTACATRGTACATTAAAATGTTACATACTATCATTTCCATTTAGTACAGCAATAAAACCACCATGAGCCATCACACGAACTAAATGTTGTGCAGTCATGCACAGTAGGTCTTGTTGTTCCAATGATAGTAAGGTTTGAATTCTTATATTACCACTTTCACAAGGATCTATTATTCCAGCTGAACCAGGAAGAAATAGTCCACCGGCTAGTAGCTGTATGACTCTCCTGTATGCTATCTGAATGGGTAATGTTTGTTTGTTGTTTAACAGTGAACGATGAGCCTAAATAATAATACAAAAATGTGTTATTTTTAACTTGATTCGAAGAAAAAATTATGATTGTCATTTAACTGATTTTCTGATTTTTAATTTTCAAACTAACCAATAAGTCGATCATCCATGGATTTAAACATTTTAACCCACTAAAACGGTTGCGTAAATCTTTAAGAAGCCTAACAAGCATCTTATTTGATGAATGAGAGGCATTATCGTCAAACCACCGGCTACAATAAACAAACAAAAAGGTTAAGTTGATATTGACATAGCAATTAAAAATATTGGTATTTAAATAATAAAAATAAAAATTT